TTGCAATGTTCAACCACTCAGAAGACAGCCCATCAAAGTGAACACATTGGGACCTTTCAGAGAGGTAGTTCACAAACCACCCTACTGCATGGCTGGACATGCCTATACTGGCTAGCCTCTGCTTTAAAATGTGATGATCGACGGTGTCAAACGCTTTTGAAAGGTCAATAAATAGAGCTGCACAACTCTGCTTATTATCTAAAATACTCGCCACATCATTCACCACTTTCATTGTGGCAGTGATGGTGCTGTGTTTTCTTCCTGAAGCCTGACTGATGTTTAGACAGGATGTCATTTGTACATAAAAACACCTTTACCTGTTCACTCACTAAGCGTTCAAGAACCTTAGCCAGAACTGACAACTTAGAGATTGGCCTATAGTTATTTAATAAGGTGGCCTCCCCTCCTTTTAGCAAAGGTAGGACATACGCTGACTTCCACAATTTTGGAATTGTGTTAGTGCTGAGGGAGAGGTTAAAAAGAGTAGTGAGAGGTGGAGCAATACAATCTGCAGCTATCTTTAAAAAGAAAGGTTCTACGTTGTCCAGGCCGGCCGGTTTCTTAGGATCTAACTTGGTTAAAGCTTCACGAACAACATCAACAGTAAAAGGGGTAAAACTAAAAGGGTTTTCCAACACACGTTTTTCAGAGTCACATACTGTAGTGTTCACAGAAGCAGAGTTAGTGACGGAATCAAATAGAGAACCACAGGACACAAAATGCTCATTAAAGCAATTTAGCATAGTGGCCCTGTCTGATATAGAGCCAGATGCTGTGGTAATGCACGGAGGTAGCTCATTACGGATATCGCCGGTGGATAACGATTGAATGGCTTTCCAAAATGTTCCAGGATTATTCAGATTCTTTGTGGTAACTGACAGATAGTACTTTGATTTAGCACTTTTGACATGTGAAGTGAAGCTATTTCTTAGCTGCCTAAAATGCAGCCATTCTACCTCTGAGCCTGATTTCCTAGCCTTTGCCCAGGCCTTGTTTCTCTCATGAAGGAGACTGGACAGATTAGCAGAAAACCAAGGATTGTCTCGTCCCTTTACTCTAAATGTACGCAGGGGTGCATGTCTATCAATGATCTCCATAAAACCAAGATAAAAATAAGACCATGCGGTTTCTACATCAGCACACAGATCGATTTTACCCCAATCAAAATCAAACAGATCATGCACAAAACCCTGCTCCACAAAATGTTTTTTGTCTCTCTTAATGATAATGCGAGGTTTAACCTTTTGGATCTTTGAGTTCATCTCATGAAAAATGGGAGCAAAAACAAAAGTGTTGCGTTTATATTTTTGTTCAGTGTAGAAACATGGTGTGCAGAGTTGTTGAAGTACGCCGATATTGTTTCCACATTTAAAACAACAGTCTGTTAAGAAAAATACTTATGTTATACAAGCCTTTTTTTTGAGAGAATTTAAAGTAAAGCTAACAACACCCATTTGAACTGAACCTGCCCACAACAAGTGTGGGGTATTCTTTGTTAATTTCATAACATGTTCCACACTTTGTGACACAAAGCCTCAAGGAGAAATCACAGATTGTGAGTGAGTACAAAAACCAATCACACAAAACAATTAAAGTGCATGTTGGTATTTATATGTACAGATCAACACGGCTTACAGTTAGAGTAGATGTGTTCACCCCATTCCTTGCTCGCCATCTTCGACCTGCTTTTCTAAAAACATATTGACCTGGATCAGTGCTCACAGTGAGTCGTCTGCCTGCTTCTGAGTAAACTGGCTCACATGGCACATGAGGGGGAGTCATTAAGAGAGCCACAGAGACGGCCCGCACAACAGAAAATAGCTCCCACATTATCGGCTCATCACGTTTAAAATGGACTAAAGGGAATAGTAATTTACTGTATTGTTAAGGGTCTTTCTGTTATTGACCTCTTTAATAAGGTTTGCTCTGTGAGTCATTATTCTGTAGGCCTTTATGTCTCTGTGCACCTGTGATAAGAAGAAGTGATGGATAGTCCGAATTGAGACAAAAATACAGGAGTGCCTGCAGCTAAATATGCCACATAAATGCATTAATATCTCACTGCCACCAAGATTAGAGCTATTTCTATACCCAGATGGCCGAGTTGGCAGTAAGATGGTCTTTCCTTTATCTCAAAATGTCCCAATTAGCAACTTAACAATCTCTAATTAGAGGCTTTTCTATTAAATACTTTGACATTTAAAGTGTGGCTGCACAGGAAGCCTGCTGAAACACAGATCTGCAGTAAAATGTATTGTTTTTTACATTATTGTACTATAATTTGTGCAACCCACATTCATTTTGCAAGTGTAAGTGCCACCTCATTTGATTGTAAAACTTGTGTACATGAATCATAGAAGCGCTACCCTCACCAACACATCAGTAACAACTTTTGTTCAGACGTGTTGCACGGAGGACACTGTGTTCCTTCAGCCGGGAGTTATTATTGCCAGCCCACTTATTCCCACCTAGTTAATCCCCTGACCTCTGACCCCTGCCCACAATGCTCCTATATTACTGTACCCCCACGCCACCCCTATGCAATGCAACACCCACCTGTCGTCTCATGAATATTTAAGGAAAAGGCGGTATAAAAATAAACTATGTGGGGGGATGGAGAGTGTATTTATACGCGAGAGAAAGTACACAAAGAAGAGAAAAAATGGTTTCCATGGAAACTAAAAAGTTGTCTAATTGGCAATAACACCTCAAAGAGGTCTGAAGAAGAAACCAGTCTCAGCTGCTACCATACTAAATCAATATGTCCCTTTTAATTTATTTACACTTTTTTATATTTATTAACACAGACTGGTGTTGCAACAAGTACAACAAGGTTTTGGTTGAAGTCATTTTTCAGTTCTGTCTGTTTCAGAGATTATGTATTATCAGAAACTAAAGCAGGAAAGATTATTTTGGCACACAGGTAGCACACCAGATTGATTTAGCATCCCACACGCACACACGCACACGCACACGCACACACACACGCACGCACGCACGCACGCACACACACACACACACACACACACACACACACACACACACACACACACACACACACACACACACACACACACACACACACACACACCACACACACACACACACACACACACACCACACACAAATCAAACCAGGCTGCCAACCGAGAGGAAATGTCTCTTTATAAAGGGCTTTTAATATCGGCTGGACATAAATCCTGCACATATCATCTCATATCCCAGAGTGTTTTATCCCATGATAATTTTAGAGCCGCAATTTATGATTATTTTCACTACTTATTTATTGTTGAGTTTATAAAAGTTGTGAATAATCTTAACAGCCCTGACACAGAGCCCAAAGGGATTATCTCAAAGTGCCATTCACTTGTATTTACTGTGGTTAATATGGACAGCTGTTCACATGCATCTGTTATGATCACACTACTCGGGAACAAAACTAGCCTTCTCCCTATAATGAGTACAAGTATAATGCATACTGTTCCCTAAACAGTCATTTTTTCAGAAAAACTATTTGAAAAGGAAATATATATTATGACAAACATGAGTAGTAAATCATCTATTCATCATTCTTCAATAGACTCGACGCTGCAGCTCTATATTCTCTGCGACTTGCAGCCTGGTCAAATGTTTTTAATTCCTCATTATCAGAGTTTTCTGACAGATTAAGGTTCCAGGAATTGCAAAAGGATGTAAACACAAAACACTCTTATGTAACCTTTGTTTATCAGAAATGACATAATCACTTCCTTGGCATAAAATGATGTCTGAGACAGATGACATTGAGCGGAGAGGTCAGAGTTCATTTCCACACAAGCTCCCAGTGAAGGTGTCACAAATGCAATTTGTTTTAAAGTATTTGTGTTATACAGATTAAAAGCACAGGGCTGAGTTGAAACCAGTCCATCATGACTTGTTACAATATGGTTATTGCTGCGAGGAGGAGGAAGCAGTGAACTGGTGGAAGTTGCAGAGATTGCAGCAATGACTCTCTTCCGCCTCTCTGATTATCTTCAGCAGACTGGCTATTAGTTCATCATGGTTATCTGTGGAAGTAATTTGTTTATTATGAAAACAATAATAAATCCTGAAAAAATTCTGTTATTGTGTTGGTAAAAAGGCTTAAGATTTTGATGAGAAGATTGTGTAGAGAACTGTGCGAATTCGAGCCAACCCCAGTCAATGCACTGGTCCTAAAATAAGCCCAAGTTAAGACCAACATATCCAAGTCTTTAACTTTGAGTTTTCACAACTAAATAAGTTATTATCTACTCGTGATCTGTCGCCGATTAACTTAAAAAAAAACATTATCACATTTTAAAGTCAAACTGATGAGCTGTTATTCAGACACTCTCCTGAACGTGATTGTCTGCTGTTGGACTTTTATTCATAGCCACATTGTGAGGAGGAAAATTAAATAGGTAAAAATGATTAAAAAGCCTCTGAATTTATTTGTATTTTAAGTTGTTTGGCGACCTACAGACATTTAAAATAGTTTGAATATTCATAATAAATTACTTACCTGCTGTTAAACGTATTGCAACACATCCAACTATACTTTCTGATAAAGAAATGCAGCTTTTTACACTCGTTTTTTTCAAATCAAAATAAAATCTTCATATATTGTGCAAAAACAGATAAACATGCATTGAACTGACTATTGGACTTGTTTTTTTCGTATTTGATAATATCATTTTGCATTATAAGAAACCCCATTTTGTAGCTCATAGAACACCCCGTATGCCTCAGAAATACTTCTCCAGAGTCTCTGCAGAAATGTTGTCGGATCATCTTCTCTGGTGTTTGTTGGATGTCGATGCAAGTTTGAGTGGGCTCAAGTCTAAATTATACAATCCACATCTCTCACTCTTGGGAAGACAATAGCATATATATATATAAATAGGAACATAATCAGAGCGATGCCTTTATCTCTCTCTCTCTTTCTCTCTCTCGCTCTCTCTATCCCACACACGCGCACACACGCACATTGGCAGGGATCGGAGCAGATGAACAACCACCAGGCAGGAGCGCCTCCGTTCAGCTACTATGGAGCAACAAGCCAGAGCTCAGACTGGAGACATGTACAAGTTTGTGCCACAGAAATCTAGCAGATTTATACAAAATATGTTTGTCTATTGAAGAAAAACAAGGAAGGAAAAAAGAGAGGAGAGTGGCAACAAAAAGCTTTTTATGAGGATGAAACCAATGTTAGTGTTCCAGTGATTTTGTCTGCATCAACATCAAGGTAAGAGTTTATAGATTCATTCTCTAATATTTGTATTTGCGGTAATGTCTGTTGGCTATGCTGGGAGGATAAACACCCGGAGAGGCATTTTATTTAACATTTTTTCAAGGATCATTTGATGTCTTTCTGCATGCATGGTAGCAAGAAAAACAGTTTAGTCCATTAAACACACACAAAAACATAATAAAAAAGAATAGACCAAAAACAATTCTACTAGTGCATTGTGTTATCACTAAGAAGTGTAACTTGTTTACTTTCCTGACTCCATTTTAAATCCCACAATTTCAAAACTGCATATAAAAGAAGGTGGTCAGAAACTTCCAACTCAGTAACTCCTGCAACGGTTTGTCTGTCCCTGTTCTGTCAAACAAAGTTACAACTTAGAAAAACACATGCACTGAAATAAAGCATCTGCCTGAGTAAGCCAACCTTAACGAATGTGGGAAATGTAAACAGATAGATGAAAAGATTTTTAAAGGCCAACATTATGTTCAAGGTTAGAGTAGTACTCTGCTCCCCCACCGCTCGGCTCCAAGCTGTCGATTATTCCTGCAGGCTTTGGATTGATTTTCAGCACTGGACAGCTCCTGTGGCCTCAATGAGACCAACACACGTCACAGCAGATGCTTAGTTTGCAAACTGCCCCGTCATAACTTCTGGTTGCACTGTGTTAACCATCGATTGGCTTTTAAGTTATCCTGCAACAGTGATGCATGTGCAAAGATGGAAACTTATATCATTTTAAATTCAGTCAAGTGTGTGTAGAATACCTCCCATCAGACTGATTGATTTGTTGCACCTTTGAAAAATGGTTTCAAATAGAAGTATGAAGTAGTTTAAGCAGATGTGTAAGGCAGAAGTAAAAACATATTTGTCTGTCTTACTTTTTCCTACACAAAACTTAGTTTAGGAGGAGAACCACAGAAATAGATTGTGTATCATAAATAAAAAGTATTCATTATTAAAAAAAAATCGGAATAAAGGAAAATGATTGTCTATGCAGGCAACATTTTAAGGATATCGTTTTGGGTCATTTGATAAAAAATGAACCAATGTTTCACTTTTAAAGTTTAAATCTGTTTAACTCATAGTGTAACAAATGTAATATTTGCATGTGAAATTCAGTGCAACAGAAGTATAAAGTATAAGAAAATAAAAATACTCAAGTACAGAACATTATTTAATGACATCCAGCCACTGCATTGTAATTGATTTTGCCTCGTGATGTTAAACAAATGGGATTCTGTATATTGTTGATTTAGTATTATTTCTTGTAGTCGTGTACGTAGGTAAAAAAATGTTTCTATTTCTGCTTCTCTGTGGGACCGAGGACAGTGTGTGGACCCACGGTTGTCCGTAGGGAGATGTAGGCCCTTCTTAAATGTCAGTTTAAAGAAAGATTGTTGTACAGAGAGACAGAAAAAGAGAGAAAATGCATATGTGGATCACTCACAAATTCCATTGTCTTTTAGATATAGATTTACCTTCATGTGTGTAAATCTTCTATTTTCCGTAATTGGCATTACACGTTTTTGTAACATCAATTGACGTCATAATCTCTTCAACCTAATCTGTATTTTTTTTTCTCACACTGAGTCCAATGCGGAAGAGCCGCTAACATTTCTTTCTGGCTCTCCTTATCCCTCCCTCCCTTCTCATATCATTAGATCTCAGATTACACAAAAGGTCTTAAACCGGGTCACACAGCAACTACTATCCACCTTTCATATTGTTGTTTGGATTGTGAGATTAGGGACATAATAATCTGGTTTTCCTCCATTCTTTGTGTGGGATTATGCTGTAATATACTGTATGTCAATTTAGTTCCTCTGACGTATCTAAACAGGAGCTACGTCAGAGTCTTCAACTTGCTGCATAAGAATGAGGACCTTAATCTGGAGAGCTCTGTGGCATTATGCAGGTTTTTGTCACTTATTTAACTGTAACATGTAAATTGTTATTTTTTAAATGAATGTTATGATATAGTATTGCCACCATTAATTTAAATGAATCAGGAATTTCATCATTTTTTTTTGATTTTCTGTTCACAGTCGAGTGAGAAAAAAGGCTGAGAAATGGATACACATAAGGTATATTTTGGGGTGAAGTATTCCTTTAAGGTAAAGGCCTATTTCTCTGCCTACCTCCCCTTCCATCCTCTTCTCACAAGTTGTCTCACATGATGAACAATCACCACACACGCAGAACTCTATAGTGAGAGGATGTTCCTATGGAGACGGATAATACAGTTGATATGATCCACAGTATAATTACTGCCATTGTCCCCCCAGGGATCCCATCCGCTGAGAACTGAAGACATCTTTCAGGCATTTACTGACAACAGGTAGCCGCATTAGACACAGTAATGAAGTATTGACGGTGTTTTATGTTTGTTAGACATAAAGGGAATTATGGATGTACACTTTTGGCAGATTAATTTAAGAAAATATACACTCAGCAGCATTTATAAAAGAAAGCATTCAAAGCCACAATCTACATGAAAATGTAGCTACTAAGCCTTCACATACTGGCAACTTGTTGGTTTTAAACTCTTTACATTATAATGTAAACAAAGCCAGTTAAATGAGCATGATTCACTGCAGAGGCATGCATCAAATATTGATTAGGGTAGGTCACGTGTCACAGATAAAACAATAACATGAAGATTTCAAATGGATCAGTGTTATGGTTGTGTAACATGGTCGTTTTGCTCAGTTTGAAACATCCTCGATCAAGGTCCGCTTGATAGCTTTTACCTATCAAGATTAAGAATATACATATCTTGATATCTATCAAGACACCATGTTTCACCCCGAGCACGTAACAACTTTTTGTATCCACGTGCACCCAATAGCCAAGCCAGTAATTGGACATTGAGTGGTTGGTGTTGTCTTTGTAGTTTTTGTAGTTTGTGTAATATTCTGTTACACTGTAAACCTGGTTGTCGTCATGGCAACAGCACTTTACTATCATACTGCATTATTATCTTTGCCAAGTTTTAGGTTTCAGTTTTCTTTGTTTGCAACCAGAAAACTATGAAAACAGTGGAGCGAATTTCTTTTTCATTTTAGTTAAAATTGCAAAACAGGGTATTTGGTTTTGGAGGTCTGTGCTCTCCAAGTGCTCTTCTAGTATAACCAGGCGTCTCAAGTATTTTGACCAACATGTAGACAAAAACACAGTTGAAATAACAGCTCTCTGACATTTTAAGGACAATTGATCATTATGGTTAGCTTTACAAAGGCAGTACTGTTAGTGTCCTGTTTTTGGGAGCTTCGCAATGCTTTGTTTAATAAAATGAAAACATTTGAGACAAAAAACACAAGATACAGCACTAACCGATGTTAAAACCACAGGGTGATCTTCTCCAATAATGTAAAATAAAATAAAAAGCTAAATTCCTTTGAGCTACACCAGAACACTGCAGTCTTTCACTCGTGTCCCCATTGTAAATCCAACAGACCAACATGTAAACTGTGTTGTGTTGTCCTGATTTCACACATGATGCTGCAGGCATTGATATGTCACTGACCTACTTTGACAATATTAGCTGCCATTTTTAAGGATTCTGAAGTAAAGGTTGTGACTTTACATGGAGGACACACTCCTCCGCAGCTGTGGGAGTTATCAAGATGACATAATCATCTGCCCTTTTGGGATTATCCAGTCGGAATCACTCTTAATACAGCCAATAATCTGCCAGTTCCTGACATCTGTCCTTGGTGTAACAGGAAAAAGAGTCTTGAAGCATAACACGTGACCCACATCACATGACATCAAATCCCGTCAAAATGTGTTTTAGTGTTTCACTATGTACATGTTTGATGTTAATGAAAGGCTTAACTGCCATTGTTTTTCGTGATATTTTCCCAAGACAATCCATTAAACAATCCATTCTTATCAACTAATATAAGTCAGCAAAAGTGATTGACAATAAAAAAAAAAAACACTGTTGCCCCACTTTTATTGCATGTGATTAGCCTGCTCTAGGTTATGCAACCCGTTGCTTTTTGGTTCTTCTGGTTCCCGGCTTGCTGACATAATAATCACCCTCCAACCTTGTCATCGGGCCAAACCGCAGATCAATTGTTCCTCTAACAGTAGATTACCACGGATTCATCTCTTTTTAGACCTTTGTCCCTTCCACTGCCTGTCTGGTTTTCCACCACTGGTTGCCCTGAAGGTCCCTAAGGCTAACCACTGGTGAGGACCTGATCAATAAGCTTTCATTACACAAAACTGTCTGGCCAACATTTGCATAGAAATTTGATTATTTAGATTGTTCGCCATGCTAGGGGGATGGCACTATGCATCCAGACTCAAATAGCTCAACAACTAGTGGATGATCCGCAAAATATTAGCAAAGTAACATGCTAAACAAAGTAGATTATTGTGAGCACCAGCTTCCACTGTTAGCATTTACACATTGTCATTATGAGCATTGTTAGCCTGTTGACATTAGCATATAGATCAAAGCACCACTGTGTGAGTATGGCCTCACAGAGCTGTTATCTTCTAGCCTTGTTGCTCAGGAATTAACCATCTTTGTTAAACATGTATACTTTGTTGACCTTTACCCTTGTAATTATTTAAGAAATCTGTTTTTTGTCTTCTTTCTTCACAGAAAATGTATCATGAGAAAGCAGCGCTGATAACGGATGCGAGTCAGACCTGAGCTCATACTTTCTCCCTGTCCAGCAACAGTACTTTAATGGTTGGAACTGTCCGCCCCAAGCTACATTACTGCCCTCGCAGACACAGCCTGATGATCACCGGTGCCATGGGAGCGGTGCGGGTAAATAGGTAAAAGCAATTAACTGGCCAGAACTGCCAGTCTTACATGTTTCCCTTATGGCACTTAAAGAGCAGTGTTTGACAGTGGTTGCAACAGTAGCCATATTTGCATCGTGTACAACTGTCAGTTGTCTTGAACTAATTTTCTCCCCTCTGTTCCTCCAGATACAGCATCGTTGCCACAGATGAAGATGTCCTGAAGATCTCCAGCCTGGGCCTCCACAATGGCCACAGTCCTCTGAATCAACAGATACTGTCTGGAACCTGTATGCGGGGTGAGGAAGGAGGAGGAGAGTGTCCAGGAGGGAACGAGGGAAGAGGAGCTTTGTCTTTGAGAGTGACAAATGAGCCCATCATCCACAGCAGCTGCCGAGCTTCACCTTCATGTCATCTCGGTCTTGATCTGGGCTCTGGCCGCCTGCGCAGCCGCTTTGTGAAGAAGAACGGCCAGTGCAATGTGGTATTCAACAACATGGAGGGTAAGCCACGACGATACCTGGCTGACATTTTCACTACCTGTGTGGACATACGCTGGCGTTATCTTCTGCTCATTTTCACTACCACTTTCCTTCTTTCTTGGCTGTTGTTTGGCGTGGTTTTCTGGGGAGTGGCACTAATTCATGGAGACTTTAATCTTCATATTCCTTTGGAGGAAGGGGATACCCAAAGCAACGGAGAAGGCGAATGGCGCCCATGTATTCTCCACATCCAGGGGTTCATTGGAGCATTCCTATTCTCGATAGAGACTCAGACCACCATTGGATATGGTTTCCGATGTGTCACTGAAGAGTGCCCAGTTGCTGTTGTGACCGTTGTGGTTCAGTCGATTGTGGGCTGCATTATTGACTCTTTCATGATTGGCACCATCATGGCAAAGATGGTGCGGCCCAAGAAGCGGGCACAGACCTTGCTGTTTTCGCATTATGCCGTCATTGCTATGAGAGACGGTAAGCTGTGCCTCATGTGGCGCCTGGGGAACATGCGCAAGAGCCACATTGTTGAAGCACATGTGCGTGCTCAGCTCATTAGGCCACACGTAACGGCAGAGGGCGAGTATCTCCCTTTGGAACAAACAGACATTGATGTTGGCTATGATGACGGGCTGGATCGGCTGTTCCTGGTATCGCCACTGGTTGTGGTCCACGAGATCAATGAGAACAGTCCTCTGTATAACATGAGCCGCGCCGACTTGCTCAAGGAAGAGTTTGAGATTGTGGTCATCCTGGAGGGGATGGTGGAGGCCACAGCTATGACCACACAAGCCCGGAGCTCCTACTTGTCCAAGGAGGTCCTGTGGGGTCACCGCTTTGAGCCTGTGGTATTTGAGAAGGGTGCGCGCTACCACGTGGACTATTCCCGTTTTCATAAGTCCTACGAAGTGCCATCTACGCCTCACTGCAGTGCCAAGGAACTGAGTCAGATGAAGGGCCGTGGCGGGCAATCCTCATCCTCCAGCTCGAGTTACTCCAGGTCTCCATCACCATTTACAAAGAGGGCAGCCCGCCACCTCATGGGCCCTCACTCCCCCAGCGCTTTCTGCTACGAGAACGAGGTAGCTTTGTGCTGCGGGGATGACGAGGATGAGGAGAATGTGAAAGAGGAGGCAGGGAGCCTGAACATCAGAAGTGAAAGAGAGGACATTCATTTGGGTTTCAAAGAGACATTTGTGGAGGAGCAGAAGGTGGAGATGCTGTGTGTTCTGGACACGGAGAATCAGATCAGCCTTGACAGACTACAGCCTACCCTACCTTTATACATTAGCAGAGAGTCAGGGGTCTAATCAATGATCATGGCTGCACTTACAAATGTTTATTCTTTGTCCGTGTGCATCCAACCAAAGTATTGAACTAGTGTACAAATTAAAGATGGAGGAGGCGTGTGGTGCAGTGGACTAGTGCATTGGTGTTCGGATCAGGTGGTCACAGGTTCAAACCCCACTGCAGTCAGCATGTTGTTGTGTCCCTGGGCAAGACACTTTACCCCAAATTGCTCCTGTGGGGATTGCCCACAGTATTGAGTATGTAAGTCGCTTTGGATAAAAGCGTCTAACATGTAATGTAATGTAATGACATTTAAATTGTATTCCTCGAGGATGAAATGGTTATTTTTTCACAAAATCCACTCATACTGTAACTTATAACTTTCTCTTGTTTCAGACATTATACACCTTCAGTTGTAACATCAGCATCTAAACAACGCACAGCTCATCTACTTTTAAACATGGTGACCAGGTATTTCTCTCAAATCATGAGGTATCTTGAACATTTTATTGCTTTCTTGTTTTATTCATTATGACAGTGTATGATATAAAGTTAAGTCAAGCATTTTGTTCTTGATTTCCATTCAGTTTTTGTAAATAGTATGCTTTTGTTTAATTTTGAAATGGTTATGCATCAAATAAATACATGTTATGGGAAAGCCATGTATTTTAAAGGCAGCATGATGCACATGCTCACACTGCCACACAATTATTTTCTCTGTCAAAATAAATTATTTATTAATTTTCATCTGCTCTCTTCCTGCCTGAGTTCTGTTACTTTTCATTTGATAAAAAGCTTTTTATCTCATTATAGACAATCAGGTAAAAAATAATTAAATCCTGATCCAAGAAACAGTATTCAAATGTGTTTGTCAAACACAGTTGAAGAACAAGCACTTTATAATTACTCTTATCATTAGATATAAACACTTTGCAACAGTGTGGATGAACAAAGCACCTAATAAACATCAGTAAAAACCTTCAAAAGCTTGAATTGTCTCTGTTGAGTCTTGCACATTTTCTCACTGGTTCAACCTCTTTCTCTCATTCTCTTTAGACATCCATGGGTTCAATAGCCCATCCATAATAATTACCATCCGCCTCTGATTACACGAGATCAATCTAATCCTATTTGTCTTAATTCTGGTACATAACATGGTTGGTTACTTTTTCTTTCCAAAACCTGGGTGACAATTTGTTTTCAGAAACGTCTCAAAAAGCTCTTCTGTCAATGGACAAGGGCTGGTCCGTCCACCCCTTTTGTCAAGACTGACATTTTCTTTACACTAGATATTTCTATTGAATGGATTATCATGAGACAAGGAGATAAGTACATTATAAGCCCTGAGCCTGTTTTTCAGGTCTCAGGCTCGAAAATGACATTCCCAGAACAAATGACCATATCTTCCCTTCTAAAATGGTTACATTAATAATCTTTTTTCTCAAAGCAAGGTTACATCTGTGAGTTGGATGTAGAAGTGTCAGAATCAATATAGATTTTTTTTTAAAAAGAAGTAAATTCAGACTGAACACAGTAAAAAAAATTAAATGATTGTGTCCATCCAAAATCTTTTTTTACTTATAGTGAAAACCACCCTTGAATGATGGGATGGTAGACTAAAAGCTTTAGGAATCCAAACTACAACATATAATAAGTACCCTGTATCAAGATTGATGCAAAACAAGTGAAATGTGACCTTTTTAGAGAGATTTAGCAAAAAAAAACACTTCTGGGGTCATTTGGGTGGATTTTCCATATCTCTGGCCCCCCTTGGTCGATTTTGATGATTGACATCTCTTTTTAACTGCTAGAGCCAATGGAATCGAGGGGAACTCCCCCACACACACACACACACACACACACACACACACACACACACACACACACACACACACACACACACACACACACACACACACACACACACACACACACACACACACACACACACACACACACACACACACACACACACACACACACACACACATTACCAAATAAGGAGTGAGAGTGACGCATAGCCAAAACCGGAATCTGCGATAACTCTGGTGACTACCATTAGTAGCTAACTTTTACTCTTCTATTTTTACATAAAAATTGAATTATTGATTATAAATAATTGTTTCAAAGTGACAGACACATTCAATTAACCTATGGATTAACCCTCAGCTGCGTTTTTTTCCCGTTTTAATGCCACTGAACATGACTTTTGTTCAGAACAACAGCTAAGGTGAGATGATGTCCCGTTTTTGCTCCGTAATGCTACGTGTTGTGATGTCTGTGTTTGCTTCCCCTGTCGCGAGTTCTGATCGGATATCTTGTATATGTGCAGTTACGATAAGTAATAATAAGGGTATCTTTATCTTGAGTTCTGTGCCACAGTGCGTTAGAATTTTTTCGCTCAGGGGTGATTTAGATGCTTCTTATGAGACTTGTGTTTTGTTTTGGTAAAAATGGTTTGTATCGTCAATTAGCTGAGATTCTTCCTGTTAATCTGGTATAACACATTAATAGGTTTTTAAATATTAAGATGCCCTGAGACACAGTGTCGTGAAAAAAACAAAACACCCAAGGGGTCTTTGGGGCTTAACAGGTTAAAAAAACATGTTTTTATGTACTTCCACCATCAAAATTCATCAAATGTAATATAGGCCTAGTTTATAGACTGCACTAGAACCAGCCAGAGGTCCCTGTATACCTAAAACCGCCAATGGGTCAAATGTACCCGCTATTGATTTTCAAGGTACAATGTTATTTTATTTATCATACAGAACAGTGAGTTTTGATCGCACAGGGATGAAATGTATACCAATAGAATCTGTGGACTCTCAGCTTTTCATATTATATAGTTTGTGCAGATAGCATGAAGTATTTTAACGCTACCAGTGCTGATTTAAATGCTTGGTGTTAGAATTGTGTTTTGTTTAGGTACACATCTCTCTATCTCTCTCTCTCTCTCGATCTATCTATAACTATCTATCGATCTATCTGTAATGTTCTGTTCTATGGACATATAATTGTCTACATAAACAGACGACGCGGACTACTTCTCTCATTCCGAGTGTCCATCTTTATTCAACTGGCACGTGACGTGACCTGCACAGTCACACATGCATTACGTCCTCAACGTGAGCTCAGACATCCAAGATCTTGTATACTCCAAGATGTTACACTATCTATCTCTCTCTCTCTCTCTCTCTCTCTCTCTCTCTCTCTCTCTCTCTCTCTCTCTCTCTCTCTCTCTCTCTCTCTCTCTCTCTCTCTCTCTCTCTCTCTCTCTCTCTCTCTCTCTCTCTCTCTCTCTCTCTCTCTCTCTCTCTCTCTCTCTCTCTCTCTCTCTCTCTCTCTCTCTCTCGCAGTAGACAGAAGGCGTTGCTATAGCAACACGTCATGTTTACGCTGCAAATATTACCCACTGGTGGTATAAATGGCAATTTTTGGGCGATTTTTTCAATCTGACTTCATATTGGCCATTTTTTTTAACAACTAAGGGTGCTACATAACACACTTTCAGGAAAAGTCACGGACTGGGAGACTTTAATATTGAAAAAAAGTTACATACAATCAAAAATCAGCTGGGGGTAAATTTGACCCGTTGGCGGTTCTAGTGTTAAAAATTCGCAAACTCATGACATTCCTTTGAGCATCAGCTGTAGGCCCACGTTTAATTCAATTGTATTGTAGAAGATTCTAACACATTAAACTAGGATGGTGAACGTGGTAAACATCACACCAATATTAATAAACATTGTTAGTTAGCTACGTCTCTGTTAGCATGACGACGACGTTATTTAGCTCATAGCCTCACAGAACCTGTTGACTGTTGAACCTGCAACCCTCAAGTAGTATGATAACTATGGGATTAGCTTTGTATCATAAAGATAAAGCAACACTTTATCAGAATAAAGCAAAACTATGAGTTTAAAAGAAAAAAAAACTGAGTCAAGCAAAATAAAATACATTTCAAAAATAAAACTATAAATTGCAAACAAATCATGTGTGTAATCATGTAAACTATAAGTATTTTTTTCTTTGTTTTAACATAGGTTTTTGTTTGCAGTTCTTGTTTCTTCTTTCTCAATGATCAGACTTTTGCTCTCGCTGCAGCTCTTCTCGTTTGTGCTCTCTCATTTTTTGTTTTCGATTTTGACACAAACATCTCAGGTGGGCGGGACTTTCAGGGGTGTGTCCCCATTGGCTACTCGGTTTTTGAGTGACAGCCCACTACACCACAGATCATAATCATGCAGCAAACTCCGGAGTCCACTAGGCCACGTTAGTGTTGGTGCCTCCTGGGGAGTTTTCTTGAACATATCGGACTTATTTTATGGATTGCTGTGCATTATACTTGTGTTGTGTAGTTTATACTTTATTCCAACTTTAAATATTTTAATACCTGAACACACTGCTGCTGTAACATAATTTCCCAATTTGGGATTGATAAAGTGTCTGTTTGTTTATTTTATAGATAAAAAACACATCTATGTATTTTCAAGCTAAAGGTGATACACAATATAAACTGTATACTGTTATTTTTTCAAAGACATGTTACATTTCAAAAGCATATATTGCTATGTTTAGGACAAACAATTAAAGACTGCTTTAATTTAACAAATTCTACAATATAAAAGTGGTAGATTTGCTTTATTAAACAGACCAGACCTAGGTTGCATACCAACACAATTAGGAACATGCTCACATCTTACTATGTTGGTCTGAAGAGCTGAAGCATTCATACACAATGGATACAAACTGTGTTGTCTCATTCTATATCCTGTGAGAAAATGATATACATTTAGCATTACAAATTCGACATACTATTCCTAGCCTGAGGAAGATCTGAATAATCAACAGATTTGAATGGAATCTCTAACATTTTCATGTAGAATAAAGACAAAAGAGTGATTATACAAATTACATTTATTGAAATTTGAACCAGAAGATGAAGTCTCAAAGAATGTTTTAAATAAAAGGACATAAAACAAAAAGGTGGATAATAATAAAATCTATTAAATGTATATGTAAAGACATTTGATCAAATGAAATGACACTGTGATAACAGCAACGCCAGTGTGGATGAAGCTGGTGCAGGTCTTTCTTCATGCCCCCCCTCCGTGCTGTCCCCTCAGAGGAAGTGGGGAAACGGGATAAGATCTCTGGACACCACGCAGTCTCAATGATCCACACTGTTAATATGAGAGGAAAATAAATGTTTTAGGAAATGAAAAATATGAAGTTAACAAATAAAACACAGCTCAGGGGCAGTCATGAACGGTAGGTTTTCCTACAAAGTTAACTCAGCCTCCATTGATTTTCATATCAAATTAGCGTGTTAATAAAATAAGCTATCATAGCTTATACTTGCATATCTAAACAGAATCATGAAAGCCTGTTGGTAGAGTCAGGCACACGAGTCCGTTTGAGTGTGTGCGCCGGTGTCTGAACGCTCACTCACTGCTAACTATGTAGCTAACTGTTAGGCTAGCCTACTTAGCTTGCATTGTTATGGATCTAAAGTTAGCAAAAGCTAACTTTCATAGCACAGCTTTACTTCTCACTTAACACAATAAAGAAACAGACAGCACAAACAACACAAATGATCAATAGGCTACTTACATATATTTTCACTTGTAGTATTATAATAATTGAAATGCTGGTTCTTCTGGGGGTGTTCTATGGTTCTATCTCAGCTACCGCACCGCAGCTGCCTGCACTGTACAATAGCTGGAGGACTGGGCTGTCACTCAAAAACTGAGTAGCCAATGGGGATGCACCCCTGAAAGTCCCGCCCACCTGGGAGGTTTGTGTCAGAATCTCAAACAAAAAGTGAAGGAGCGCAAAAGTACGGAGCCCCCTAGGGGACATGGAGAAGAAAAGAAAAATTATTTGAACAAATAAAAAATAAAAAGTTTTTGCGAGATATCGCAAAACCCCGTTGCAGTTTGTAGACGGTCCCTAAGCACTC